ACCTCCAGCAGCTCCAGCACCAGCAGCACCTCCAGTAGCTCCAGCACCAGCAGCACCTCCAGCAGCTCCAGCACTAGCAGCACCTCCAGTAGGTCCAGCACCAGCAGCACCTCCAGCAGCTCCAGCACCAACAGCACCTCCAGCAGCACCAGCATCAGCAGCACCTCCAGTAGCTCCAGCACCAGCACCAGGAGCACCTCCAGTAGCCCCAGCACCAGCAGCACCTCCAGCAGTAGGCCCCCTAGCTCCAGCAGCACGGCTACAGCGCCGAGCGTACCACTCACGAAGCTGCCGTGGAGAGAGAGGCTCCCGCCGCAACGGGGCACTCGGAGGACCTCCAGTCTCAGCACCCCCAGACTCAGCAACCCCAGGCTCAGCACCCCCAGGCTCTGCACCCCCAGGCTCCGCACGCTCAGGCTCAGCACCCCCAGACCCAGCACAGAGTCAACAGCTACCTCGACAGGCTCGACTGCGTCTACCTGGGACACACCTGAGGGGGCAGGACCCTGAGGGGGGAGGGGGTCAACCTGGGGAGGACCTGGCGCGAGGAAGAGCGGCGGGGGGGGGAGGGCGGCAGTGCGGTAGGGGAAGATACGGTAGTAGGGAACCGACTCGTCAAACGTGACGTCCTGAGAGGACAGAACACGGCGCGAGGTGGGGTGGTAAAAACCGCCAGCCAGGCGCGTCAGGGGGGAATCCAAGGAAGACGCAGGGAACGGCACGGGAGGACAGCTTATCCGCCGACAAGTCGCGGACGAAAGCTCGAGATCCCCAGACACGGAACGCAGACGCATCGCCAACCTTCCCCGTCCACCGCAGAGTGGGGGAGGTCTCCGGCATGGAGGACCCGGGGCTGAAGGTTGATCTGATGCGCCGCGTACTGAACCGCGAACGGCCACAGATAATGGGGAGTAGCCGCATGGATCATGGACGTACGAGCGACATCCATGACCATGCCAATGCGGCGCTCGGCAATCCCATTTTGCTGTGGAGAGGCCGGAAGCGTGAACGTCTGGCGGATGCCCTCCGCCCGACAGTAGGCCTGCAGAAGGTCGGAGGAAAACTCTCCACCTCTGTCTGAGTGCAGACGCACAACAGGAAAGTCCGAGCCGAAACTCTCTCTGAGCTGGAGACGAGCAGCGCGGATCCAGTCGATCAACACCTCAGTGACCTCACCCTTGCGGCGCAAGGGGAAGACTGTGGTGTAACGCGAGTAGTCGTCAACGCCCAGCAGGAAGTAACGCTCGTGACCCTGTCCACGGACGCGGGCTGGGCCCCACACGTCCATGTGAAGAGTCTGCAGTGGGGCCTCTGTTGGAGGAAAACTCGGAGGAGTGAGGAGCGGCGCGTTGCCGACCCTCGACGCAGGGAACGCAGGTAGGGGCAGGCCCCGGAGGAAGGGGAGGGAGGGACTCAGGAAGACCCAAGACCAGGACACGGGAGGCCATGCCTCGAAGACGAGGCAGGGAGGGGTGACCAAGGCGGTGGTGCCAAAGAAGAGTCTCGTGGGCCAGGAGGCGACACGAGCAGGGGGCAGACTCAGGGCCAGACCAGGACACTGCAGCAAACACCTGACCCGACGCGGCTACCTGACGAGGAGGAGACTCAGTGGTAAGGGTGTACAGGCTGGACCCTGGCCTACGGGTGAACGTGGCCAGGTGACGACCCGTCCGAGCACACGTGCAGTGCGTCACACGCTGGTGGGCAGGGGTGAACTGGTGAACACCCCATCCTGAAGATCAGCACCCGCCACCAAGTTCGTAGAGAACGAGGGGAGGTGAAGACCAGACAGCGAGCCGGACGGAACAGCAGGACATGGGAGGACAGTGGAGGACGGGCCACAACTGGTCCCCCAGAGGGGTCATCCAGAGAGACTGCCACCGGCCGACTGAGCGGCGAGAGGGTGGTGCAGTCGCGAAAGAAGGAGCGGGAGGCACCCGAGTCAAGGGTGAAAGTGTGCAAGACCTGAGCCGACGCGGTACCTGAGAGAGCAGCCTCACCAGCACCTGGAGCAGCAGACTCACTAGCACCTAGAGCAGCAGCCCTCACCAGCACCTGGAGCAGCCTCACCAGCACCTGGAGCAGCAGACTTAATGCCCGGGTCGGGCGGAACACACAGGTAACAGTCACCCTCATCACTAATAGACACAGCATACATAGCAGCAAGGATAGCATCATAATCAAGATCAAAGATAGCAACCCCCGACTTAAGCAGAATATCCCAGCGAGGGATCTCCGAGGAGCCAGGGAACTGAGTGCGCCAGGCGTCAGTCAGGGCGGCCGAAGCAGCGTGGTGTGGTGTGCGGGCCTCCGCACGTCTCTCACTGCGGTCGCCGGTGCAAAGAACGTAGGTGCAGGGACCAGCACCCCCAGACCTCCCACGCCCAGCGTACCACTCACGTAGCTGCTGAGGCGACGGGGTCTCACGGGAGCGCTGCTGCTGCTGGCGCTGGCCACCGCTAGAGCCTCCCCGCTGCCCACCACCACCCCCGCCCCACCCCCACCTCCTCCGCCGCCGCCGCCACCATTCCACCCCCACTCCCGCTGCCTCCGCCGCCTCCACCTCCACCGCCGCCACCTAAGCCCCCAGTCCCGCCACCACTCCCACCTCCACCCCCACCCCCTCCTCCTCCTCCTCCACCGCCACTACCCGCCGCCCCCGCCGCCCCCTCCACCCCCCTTGCCCCACTTGCCCTTGCTGTTGCGGCGCTTGCCACTAGGGGCAGACGCAGTGCCGACCGACTCGGTGCCATCGAGGTCGACAGCAGCAGCAGAGGCAACAGAAGGCAAAAGAGGGACGGGGGAGCACCCCTCAAAGAAAGGGGCACGGGGGTCACCACGAGAGGCTCCTACAGCGACTATACTCTTCTCAGCTGCAAGGAGGTGCTCCTCGAGGAGGTCAACGGTGAGCGTGGTGGGGCAGAGGGAGAGGAAGTGGTCCCTGACCGAACGGAGGGAGTCAGGGAGCCGGGTGATGAGGTAGTAGAGAGTTATGTACATAGGGGGGGGTTCTTGGCACAGAACTCGGCAGGAAGCGCAGCGCGGTAGCGGGTGTCACTAGTGCGGAGGTGCGTAATGAGGTCAGCGACTGTGGCAAAAGCGGCTAGGTCAGGGAACAGGTACGGCAGCATGAGGCGGCTAAGGGCAGCAGTGGCAAGGGAGGAGTAGCGTGCAACAACATCAGTGTACAGAGTGCTAGCACTCTTGTACTGACTAAAGTGCGCGCGCTCAGAGGAGGGCAGGTGACTACGCACAGCAAGGCGAGCAGCAGCATCGCGCGTGGTCCAGAACCGAGCGAAACAGTACTAGCAGCATCAGCAGCAGGGGCAGCAGAGGCACCAGACGTGAGATCGAACAGTGAGAGGCCGTCTTTGCTATCGCACTGCAGGAAAAGCTTGCAGATCATTTATCCAGACCTCAAGTCTACCGCTCGACCCTCAGCATCAAAGGTAAGAACGTTGGGACCTAGCCATGACAGCAAGCAGCAGCAGGCTAGCAGCAGCAACAGCAGAAGCAGGCTAGCAGTAGCAGCAGCAGGAGGGGCGCGGCTCGGCGGTGCGCTTACCAGGGGCGGGTGGGTAGAAGCCCGCAAGTGGTGGGGCAGGGCCGAGGTGCGTCGGCAGGATCAGGGGCCGCGACAGGGCGGCAGGGCAGGGCCGCGACTCGCTGCAGGGCAGGGCCGGGATGGCGGCGGCGGCTGCCACGGCAGTGGCGGCGGCGGCTGTCTCAGCAGCCAGCGGCGGTAGCTGTCACGGCAGGAGCGGCGGCGGCTGTGACGACAGCAGCGGCGGCGGCTGTCACGGCAGCAGCGGCGGCGGCGAACGGTTCGTGGCGGAAGCGGCAGCGGCAGTAGGCGCGACGGCAGCTGCTGCTGGGGGCGGCAGCAACGGGGGCGGCAGGGCGGCTACGGCGGGCCGCGAAGAGCCGTGGAGGGGGGCCGCAAAGGGCCGCGAAGGGCCGCGAAGAGGCCGCGAAGGGCCGAGAGGGGGGGCCGCGAAGGGCCGCGAAGGGGCCGCGAAGGGCCGTGAGGGGGCCGCGAAGGGCCTTAAGAGGGGCCCGCGGGGCCGCTAAGGGGGTCGCGACCCGGGACCGCAAAGGGGCCGCGAAGGGGGGCCGCTAAGGGGGGGCCGCGAAGTTTTAGGGCAGGACGCGAAGCGCGTTTAGGGCAGGCTAAAAAAAATTTCGAAGGTGGGCCCAAGGAAGAAAACGGTCCCACTAGGGAACCCGACTCTATACCATGTGAAGAAATGAGGAATGAATGAAACTAGGAAAGTGTTGGGTACAAATATGAAACCCTAGGAAACTTGTACCCCTTAGTGTCTACCCCACTATAGCCTACACAGGCTAAGTCATATATGTCTGACAGCAGTAATTCCACATATTGGAGGACCATGATATGGTATTTCCTACGCTGTCCCTTATGCATGTGTTTATTAACTGAGCTCATTGCTGCTGGCTTAATAGAATGTTTAAAAATGTTGCGAGAACTGGTTATTGTTGGATTGAGTGTGTACATATTGTTTTTGTTTGCTCTTTTTTTAAGTAAAATTGACCGTCTCTAGCACACCTTGTCTTACTTCTAAGCTTTAATTGCAAAACAAATATATGATTTTATTTTGCAAACATGATAATGAGAATGCAAACATGTTCCACCAGCTAACTTGTACACATACCACGCGATAGATGATAATGAAATTCATCTAGACGAATGTGAAAGCACAATTTCGGATCTGAATACAAATTGTCGACCACCTCTACAAATGTGCAACACCTATTTTTCACGCGAATCCGTAGCGGATGCAATCACATGCCCATATACCCAAGGCTTTTCTTTCCTCAATCCCAAACCCAAATATCGAACCCACTCTCGTGCAGAAGAAGCATCACATGAGCCAACATTCTAGAGGGAAATTTAGGCAAAGCACGTATTGCCGCTGACTCGTAAGGCAATTCCGGCTGGTGCGACGATGAGCACAAATAGCAGGTTGTTGACTAAGCCGTCACATCCATTTCCGTTCCAAAAAGCGACCGAAAGCATCCCTCAGAGTGGGAGCAGCGGCAGCAGGGAGCTTGAGAAACGGAAGGCACAGACCCATCTCACACACGTCAGGGCGAGGCAGGCGGATCACCACCGGCTCCCCATCCTCCCCGACATCCACCAGTGCTGTGTCGCCAGCTGTGAACGCGCCCTCCCTGACCCCGCTGACGTCACCCAGGGGTGCGCTGGTGTCATCTTCTTTGGCGTCAGCTGCGATCGCAGGGAGCAGCACCGAAGGAACGGATGGTAGAGATTCCGACAGGTCACTGCTTGCTGACGCGGCGGTGGCGGTGCCTGGTGTTGCTGCTGCTTTCCCCCGCTGCCAGCACAGCCTCGCTGATTGGATCGTCGACCAATCGCGTGACGGCACATCGCAGTGGACGCGCCCCATACGCCCTGTCGTACCCCTCCTCACAAATCCGCTCCATGAGTACTTCAGAAATTTCCAGGTTGATTCCCTTCTGTGCAAGTCTATCAGCCGACTCCTTGACCATCATGTTAGCAATCACTCGGATCTGGAGGGAAGGGGGACAAGTGGAGGGACAAGGAAGCAAATGTAAACAGGGTAGAGGGGTTTGCTGCACGAGTGCTCTGACACTTCCAGGTTGAATCACCTCTTGGTCTATCGGTCAGCCGTCTCTTTCACCATCGTGCTGGCAATCACTCGGATCTGGAGGGAAGGTGGGGGAGATGGTTATGGTGAGGGTGAGGGTGGGAAGATGGGCGAGACGTGGGAGGTGGAGGAGGCTGGACAGGTGCGGATGGCTTATGGGGAAGGTGGCATAGAGGGTGGTAAGAGCAGTAAGGAATGTGAAACCATGATTCTCCAAGACTGAAGCGTTATGCACAACAAGGGTGTGCATGCGTGAATAACGCATTTGTTGTGAAGCACGCTTCAGCCATGGAGATACCTGGTTCACATTCCTTACTGCTCTTACCACCCTCTCTAGAGCTCGGAACACCACCACCTCGTCGATTCGGATCATCAGCTCTGGCCAAAAGTGCGTCTTCGACTCTTCCACCAACCACCTCCCTCATTTGCACACACTCCTCTGTTCTCTCTCTCCCTCACACTCACCTGTTCCCTCTCACACCATGCTCACCTGTTTCCATTGCAACGGGCTCGAAATACCACCACCTTGTCGATCCTGTTCATCAGCTCAGGCCAAAAATGCGTCTTCAACTCCCCCATCACCACCTCCTGTCTCATCTGCTCTCCCACATGCAAGCACACCTGTTCCCTCTCCCGCATGCCCACCCCAATCCCTCTCTCACCTGTTCCCTCTCCCGAATTCTGAACACCACCACCTCGTCGATCCGGTTCATCAACCTTGCATTCCCCTTTACACCCACACACTTCTCCCTTGCTCAGCTGTTCTTTCGCCAATGCTCGGACCACCACCCGCGTCAATCCGGTTCATCAGATCTTGGCCGGAAACGCCCCTTCAACTCCTCTCCCCACTCAACTGCATCACATGCCCTTTCCCTGTTCTCACCTGTTCTCTCTCCCAATGCTCGGAGCACCAACACCTCATCAATCCGATTCATCAGCTCCGACCGGGAAGTGCGCCTTCAACTCCTCCATCACCACCTCCCTCATTGCCGCTTACCGCCCCGCATCCACCTTTTTGAGCCGTACACACACAGACACACTTTCTCTCACCTTCTTGCATGCTCACCTGTTCCTTCTCAAAAGTTCGGAACACCACCACCTCATCAATCCGGTTTATCAGCTCTGGCCGGAAATGCCCCTTCAACTCCTCCACCACCATCTCCCTCATCGCTGCATACTGCCTTCTCAGACGTACACACGCACACACCTTTCCCCAACCCCCCCCCCCCCAAACGCTCACCTGCACTTTCCCCAATGCTCAGAACACCACCACCTCATCGATCCGGTTCATCAGCTCTGGACGGAAGTGCGCCTTCAACTCCTCCATCACCACCTCCCTGTCTCACCTCACCTGCTCACCCCCCTTACCTGATTTCTTGCTCACCTGTTCCCCTCTCCAATGCTCGGAACACCACCACCTCATCAATCCAATTCATGAGCGCTGGCCGGAAGTGCATCTTCAACTCCTCCACCACCACATCCCTCATCGCTGCATACCGCCCCACTTGTGCTGAGACATACACACGTGCACCTGCTCCCACCTCTCTTACCCACCTGTTCTCGCGCCAGTCTCACCTGTTCCCCTCTCCAATGCTCGGAACACCACCACCACGTCAATGCGATTCATCAGCTCAGGCCGGAAGTGCACCTTCAACTCCTCCATCACCACCTCCCTCATTGCCGCATACTGCCCTGCATCCACCTTCCGAGACGATCACGAACACGCAAACGCACACGCACACACACTTGCTCACCTGTTCCCTCTCCAGTGCTCGGAACACCACCACCTCATCAATCCGATTCATGAGCTCCGGTCGAAAATGGCGCCTTCAACTCCTCCATCACCACCTCCTTCATCGCCGCATACCGCCCCGCATCCGCCCGTCCCTCTCTGCCCCCATCTCTCCCCCTATTCCCATCAGCAGATGCATATTCTCCTGGAGTGAGGAAGCCGATTCGGTGGGTGCCCCCCCTTGCAATGGCCTGAGAGCCCACATTGGACGTCAGGACTATCAGGGCGTTTTTGAACGACACGTGGCGGCCCTGGATTGGTCAGAAAGGAAGAAAGGAGAGGAGGGTGAAGAGGTAAAGGGCGGGGTGGGTGGGTGGGTGGGTGATGAATAGAGACTTGGGAGCATCAGAGGAAACCAGAGGATCAGAGGGTGGGAGCATCAGACAAAACCGATGCAGTGGTATAGAGGCTTGGGTATCAGCAGTTTTGAGGGTATCAAAAGCACCAGCCGGACACAGTAGATAAAATACATCAACATTTCAAGCTACCCCCACCTCACAACAGACAAACAACACCCACCTGCGAGTCAGTAAGCCGCCCGTCTTCGAAAATCTGCAGCAGGAGATTAAAGACGTCCGGGTGTGCCTTCTCGATCTCGTCCAGGAGAATAAGACAAAACGGCCGCCTGCGGACGGCCTCCGTGAGCTTGCCGCCCTCGGCCGTACCCCACGTAGCCGGGCGGCGCTCCAATCAAGCTTGCTGACAGCGTGGCGCTCCATGTACTCACTCATGTCTAGACGAATCATGGAATCTTCCTGGAAGGCAGAGGATGAACGAGGGCAATGCAGGATGGAGGGGAATGAGGGGGGAAGCTGCGATCCACCCACCCGATGCATTCGATGGGAATGATGCATATATCCAATCAGCTTGCTGACAGCATGGCATCCAATCAGCTTGCTGACAGCATGGCATCCAATCAGCTTGACTCCAAGATTACCAGTGAATCAAACTCACCGATCCATAGTAGTGAGCTGCCAGTGCCTTGCACAACTCCGTTTTCCCCACCCCGGTAGGTCCCGAGAACAGCAGAGCCGCCACCGGCCTTCCCCTCCCCCTTCAACCCCACCCTCGCTCGCTGCACCGCCCGTGCTATCACCCGCACAGCTGCCCCCCTGCCCCACCACGCGCGTCTCTAGTGCCTCTTCCAGCCCTGCCAGGTGCTGCTGGTCCGAGAGGGAGAGCTGCTGCAGGGGGATACCGGTCCAGTGGGCGGCCACTGCTGCTATGTGCTCTGCTGTGATCTCCGTGGGGCTGGTGGAAGGGGTAGAGGACGAAAGAAGAGGATTGAGGGAAAAGGATGGGCGGCTGGAGAGGATTAATGTGCCAAATGAATTTTTGAGGTACAATTTCTGAGAAATTTCAAAATCAGCCAAAAAAAAGAAAAAGGTGGCTGGAGAGGATCAATGTGCCAGAGGACGGTGACAGACAATGGTGTTGACGTTGGTGCGAGTGTGTGTGAGACTAAGACGATCGAGGAGTGGCGAATCTCACCTGTCGTCCTTGTCACTGCCAGTGATGCCACTCCTGGACTGACCAGCAGCGGTAGCGGCGTCAGCAGCCGTGGTGCTGTTGATATGAGAGTTGAAGTGTGTGAGTCCGACAATGGGAGAGTGGCAGACCTCACCTGTCGTCCTTGTCACTGCCAGTGATGCCACTCTTGGAACGCCCCAGCAGCGGCGGCGTCAGCAGCGGTGGTGGTGTCGATGGGAGTGTTGAGTGAGTGAGAGTGACACGAGGCTGTCAGTGTGGGTGTGCGTGCGTGTGTGAGAGTAAGACGATCGAGGAGTGGCGAATCTCACCTGTCGTCCTTGTCACTACCCGGTAATTCCACTCTTGGAACGACCAGCAGCAGCGGCGGCGTCAGCAGCTGTAGTGGTGTTAATTGCGGGTGTGGTTGTTTGTGAGAGTCAGACGACGCTAAAATCTCACCTATCCTCCTTGTCGCTGCCAGTGATTGCCACTCTTGGACCGACCAGCAGCAGCGGCGGCGTCAGCAGCCGTGGTGGTGTCAGCGTGGGTGTGATTGTTTGTGAGACTCAGATGGTGGTGTCATTATGAGTATGATTATGCGTGACGGTAAGAGGTAGGTTTCACTCACCTGTCGTCCTTGTCACTGCCAGTGATGCAACTCTTGGAGCGAACCAGCAGCAGCAGCGGTGGTGGTGGTATTAATGGGAGTGTTAAGTGTGTGATTCATACGGTGATATTGGCGTGTGTGTGAGTGGTGAATCTCACCCGTCCTCCTTGTCACTGCCAGTGATGCCACTCTTGGAGCGACCAGCAGCAAGCAGCGGCATCAGCAGCGGTGGTGGTGTCGGCATAACGTGGTCTTGAGAGAGGGAATGAGGTGAGCGAGGTGAAGGGATTCTGGCGAGCATATGCCTGTGGAAGAGAGAAAGAAACAAGGGGTTGGGGGAAGAAGGGGGGGTGAGAAGCACCAGCGGCGTCAGCAGCGGTGGTGGTATTGGGGTGAGTGTGAGTCTAGAGAAGAGGAAGGAGGTGAAGCGAGGTGAAGGGATTCTGGTGCACATGTGCCTGCAAAGGGAGACACAATCAGAGAAAAGAAGAGAGAAGTCTGAGGGATTCCAGCAGGCACAGGCCTGGAGATGAGAGGAAACAGACACGGGGAATACGGGAGCAAGTGAACGAAGGAGCAAAAGAGCAAGGGAAAAAGGGGAGCAAGGGAACAGATGAGGAGTAACAGATGAGGAGTGAGGGAACACAAGCAGAGGGAGAGGAAAGAGGTGAATGAGGTGAGAGCTTTGCGGCAGGCCGCCTCCCCTGCCCGCTGCTCTACTGCCACACTACAACCTCAGTATTTAACCCCTCGAGAACCTTGTCTCACCACACACAAAACTGTATCAAACCAATCCTCACCGCATTGGAACCACCTTCACCGCACTGCACCCATTCTCACCGCTTCATGTGCAGCCTGCGCCATCCTGATCTCCCGCCAGTACTCCTCTGCACCCCTCTCCAGCACCCCACTCACCCTCCTCCTCCTCCCCTTGCTACCCTCCACCTTGCTCCTACAGGCTTCTCGCTTTGAGGCACTTACCTCCAAGAACAACCCGATCTAAACGCATTGAACCCATTTCCACCGCACCGCAGTAGAACCACCCTCACCGCATTGCACCCATTCTCACCGCTTCGTGTGCAGCCTGCGCCATGCGAATCTCCCGCCAGTACTCCTCTGCACCCCTCTCCAGCACCCCACTCGCCCGCCGCCTCCTCCCCTTGCTGCCCTCCACCCTGCTCCTACTAGCCGCCTTGTCTATCAGGTCAATTGCCCTGTCGGGCAGGCAGCGATCGGGGATGAAACAAGCATAGAGGGTGACTGCTGCTGCCAGAGTATCGTCCGTGAGAGTGCACTTGTGGTGTGCCTCGTATAGGTGCCTCAGGCCGTGCAGAATCGCCAGAGCCGCCTCCTGAGAGGATTTCAGGGTTTAGGGAGGGAGCGGAGGAGAATAAGGGACAAGGGGTGGTGCTGTGAGTCGCCTGCTCCCCTCCCCCGGCTGCCCTCCACCCTGCTCCTGCTCGCCGCCTCGTCTATCAGGTCAATGTCCCCTCGGGCAGGCAGCGATTGGGGATGAGACGCGAGGAGAGGGAGAGGGGAGAGGGGAGAGGGGAGAGGGCCACAGCTGCCATGAAGTGAGAGCACACTTGTGGTGTGCCTCGTACAGGTGGCGCAGACCTTGGAAGTATGGCTAGAACGGCTTCTTGGGAGGCGGGAAAAGGAAAGGGGGGAAGGAGAGAGAGGAACAAGACATGAGAGGAGGGGGAAACGGCTGCTGCCAGGGCAGAGTCGGTGAGAGTGCACTTGTGGCGGGCCTCAGGCTCTGGAGGATGGCTGCTTCCTGGGAGGGGGGAATCTGGAGAAAAAAACTGATAAAAACTGGAGCGGCTTCCATAAGGTTTTCGGCTTTGTCACTGATAAAAAGGAGTTTTTGAGACGTCTCATACAGCTAGTTTTGAGACGTCTCATACAGCTTCCAGGGCGGAATTGGTGAGAGCACACTTGCAAAAGTTTCGGGCCAAAGCCTTGTCCTTCTTCCCATGTCGAATCCACCCCACCCCCGGTACAAAAACACAGCCACCCACTCACCCCTGATGGCTCTTCCATAGTCAGCGGCTGAAACTTTTGAGTCGACTCAAAATACAGCCACCCACTCACCCTCTGATGGCTCTTCCATGGTCAGCGGCTGAAACTTTTGAGTCGACTCAAAACACAGCCACCCACTCACCCCTGATGGCTCTTCCATGGTCAGCGGCTGAAACTTTTGAGTCGAATCAAAACACAGCCACCCACTCACCCCTGATGGCTCTTCCATGGTCAGCGGCTGAAACTTTTGAGTCGACTCAAAACACAGCCACCCACTCACCCCTGATGGCTCTTCCACAGTCAGCGGCTGAACCGCATGGCCAATGCTTTGGCCCTCTCCGCACACGATAAAAGAGCATCCCACTCACCTCTGAGGGCTCGTCCAGAGTCACGGGTTGAAAGCGCCTGGCCAGCGCATTGACTTTCTCCCCAATAAAGAATCACCCATACCACATCTGCGTTATAGCAGCCTCCCACTCACCTCTGAAGGCTCGTCCACAGTGACTGGCTGAAAGCGCCTAGCCAGAGCCTTGTCCTTCTCCAGATGCTTGCAAAACTCATTGGTGGTGGTTGTGGCAATGCACTGGTGGTTGAGGAGGAGAAGGTGTGTAAGCGAGGGGTTAGAGTGTAAGCGGGCGGGAGGGGAGGGTGGGGGCAAGTGGGAGTGCATTAGATGCGAAGCCAGAGCCTTGTCCTTCTCGAGGTGCTCGCAAAACTCATTGGTGGTTGTGGTGGAGATGCACTGATATGGAGGGGGGGGGGGGGGGGGGGGGAAGAAGGAAGAGGAGAGGAGAGAGGAATGGGAAGGCATAAGGCACTGGACAGATGCGAGGCTATGGTATGGTGTGAGCCTTGTCCTTCTCGAGGTGCTCGCAAAACTCATTGGTGGTTGTGGTGGCGATGCACTGATGAGTGAGCACCGTTCCCCTCGTGACATAAAAACAGAAGATCTAGCACAGATGGTGTTGTGTATATCTTACATAATCATCGCACTCTACTGGAATCGGCACTCTTGCCATCCATACCTGAATCTTTCCCCTAGTCAAAGCAGTTTTGAGCAGATTAGAGATGTCTGAAGCTGAACCCCCACCTGCCTCGTCCCCTTCCTGCGGCTCCAGCTCCCACCATCGTGTGCACCTCTTCTATCATCAGCACCACCTCTATTACCCAGCACAAACACACTAAACCGCACTCAACCGCCCTCTGCCTCACCTGAATCTGCCCCCTGTACAAAGCAGGCTTGAGCAGGTTCGAAATATCCAATCCCGATCCCCCGCCATCTCGCCCCCTCCCCACGGGCACCAGCCCCCACCATCGCATGCACCTCGTCTATCACCAGGAATATCACCACCTCTGTTACCCAGCACCACTGGACTAAACCTCTCTCAACAGCACTCAGCAGATGACTCTCACCTGAATCTGGCCGCGTGATAAGGCAGGCTTGAGCAGATTCGAGATGTCCAATCCCGATCCTCCGCCGTCCCGTCCCCTCCCCCCGGCGCCAGCTCCCACCATCGTATGCACCTCATCTATCAACAGGATCACCTCCCCCGCTGCTGCCACCGCCTCTGCCTCTGCCACCAGCATAGTCACTCTGAGTTCCAGTTCCCCCCTCTCCTTTGCTCCTGCCATCACCCTCCCCATGTCCAGCGACCGAAGGCGCTTTCCCTGGTGGAAGGAATGGGGGAAGGGGAGAAAGAGAGACGGTTTAAACCAACCATCCCACAATGGAGAGCACACTTACGGCCACCGTGAAGCTCTGGTGGAGGAGTGATGCAATGGACACCTTGCCTATCACCACCTCTCCATTGCTGCCACCGCACACTTGAAGCGACCCTTCAAGAAACCCAGCTCACAAAACGCTCACCTGCAGAACTAACTTCACGGTGCATCGTTCTTGGCAATCCTGACCGCCAAGCCCTCCCCTACGGCTGCCTTGCCCAACCCCTTTGCTATGCACCCTGTCCCCCTGTCAACCCATTCCCTCCGCAGCACAACACCGCTCACCTGTAGGAACGGTGGCACGTCGTTCTCGGCGATCCTCAGCGCCAGCCCCTCTGCAATGGCCGTCCTGGCCACCCCCCATGATATTTGCCAAGCCTTGTACTGGCAGAAACCCACTCAACAGCAACAACACCACCCAACTGACCCCTACTGCAGCCACCCTTGTGAGGCACTTACCTAGGAACGGCGGCACATCATTCTCGGCAATGAGCAGCGCCAAACCCTCCGCTATGGCCGTCTGCTGTCAACGTGCCCCTGCTACCCCATTTCCACCCCAGCAACATGACCTCTCACCTGCAGGAACGGTGGCACATCGTTTTCGGCGATGCGCAGCGCCAAACCCTCCGCTATGGCCGTCTTGCCCACCCCTGGCTCGCCCAGCAGCAGAGGGTTATTCTTGGTGCAACGAGCGAGGATCTGAGGGGGAGGAGAAGGAGAAAACGCGAGAATTGGGAGGTGAGAAACAGGGGGAAGCGGTTGCGTGAAAAGAGGGCTATACATGGCCGTCTTGCCCACCCCCAGCTCCCCCAGCAGCAACGGGTTGTTCTTGGTGCGACGAGCTTGGATCTGAGGGGGTAAGGAGCAAGAGAGGAGGGCGGGAGAATGGAAGAGTGAGAGAGGGGACGAAAGGACGAACAGAGGCATAGAAAAGGGGGAGATGGCCGTCTTGCCCCCCCTGGCTCGCCCAGCAGCAGAGGGTTGTTCACGGTGCGACGAGCAAGGATCTGAGGGGGAGGAGAAGGGGAGAGGTGAGAGGGAGAGGGTGACGAGTAGCAAACGATTGGTTCAGAGGGTTGTTTCACGTGCGATGTGCAGGATCTGAGGAGGAGGAGAAGGGGACAGGTGGGAGAGAGTAGAAAGAGGGAAAATAATTAGGCTATTAAGAGGGCTACCTAAAGCCGTCTTGCCCACCCCTGGTTCGCCTAGCAGCAGCTGGTTGTTGCTGGTTCGATGAGCGGGGATCTGGGGGCGAGGGGAAGGGGAGAAGTGGGAGTGGGGGGAGTAAGGAGTGGTGAGGAGGAAAGGGAGGGACAAAGTGTTGAATCAGGAACGCAGACGTCTCCTCCGCCCACCCCTGGCTCTGTCAGCAGCAGCGGGTTGTTCTTGGTGCGAGAGCGAGAGTGGATTTAGCCCTAGGCTGTCGAATACTGAATGCTGCCAACTCCCAAGGCCACCAACGATACTAGATTTGTGTTTAGGAGTTAGCTAACACCCTTGCGTGTTCTTTGAGAGCCCTTCTCCTCCATATACGTTGGCTTTCTCGAGAGTCCTTCAAATTCGCATTCACGGCTGATGCATCACCACTGCTCTTCAAACGACACTTCACAGTGTGAATAGCAGTCGCGATGCACCAACAGTGAATGATACTGGTCACTCATTCTGCAACCTTTTATGGCATGCTGAATAGCGGAATCGAAAGACTTCCGAGAGAGCCAATGCATATAGAAAAGAGAGGTTTTTGGGGAATGCATAAGTGCTAGCCAACTCAGGAGCAATCTCACCCTGCACCGCAATGCTTGTTCGGTGTACACACCCATTATCCCCATTACAGTCATATCTCAGCACAAGCACGCACCTACACCACCCGCACAACCTCCTGCTCTCGACCAATCACCGGGTCGATATCTCCCTGCACCAAAATAACCGTTAGATGCTCCATAGAGTCATGCAACCAGTCATAATTCCACACAATCACGCACTTCACCCACCTGCACCAAACTGACAACCTCCGCCTCTCGGCCAACCACCGGGTCGATCCCTCCCTGCACCGCCATGGCCGTTAGATGCCCCCACTCGTCCACTATCCCTGTTACAATCACATCTCAGCACAAACACGCACATGCACCACCCTGGCGACCTCCTCCTCTCGGCCAATCACGGGGTCGATCCCTCCCTGCACCGCCATGGCCGTTAGATCCGTGCAGAACTGCTCCAACGCGCTCTGCTGCGCTGCTGGTTGGTGGTGGGATAGGGAGGAATGCGGTAGGGTGGGTTGGGGTAGCGTGGGGTGGGACGGGTCGATCTCCCCTTGCGCAACCATGGCTGTTAGATCCGTGCATAACTGCTCCAACGCGCTCTGCTGCGCTGCTGCTTGGTGCGGGAAGTGGAGAGATGTGGGAACGGGAGGAAATGGAAGGAAAGAAATGAGAATTTCCTAAGCTCTTCTCCTTCCATCACTGCCAGTGAGATCGGTGAGATCTGCTGCGCTGCTGCGTGTGGGGGAATTTGTGGGTGCGAATAGCTTGGGAGGAAGAGAGAGAAAACATTAACAAAATGTTCCTACATTCTTCACATCCTTTCAGCGACAAATGTTCCTAGTTTTCCACCACTTTGCACTGTCGTGGCCTTCCTAATGTGCAGAAGAACTGCGTTATAGCACTTTGCACCGCTACTGCAGAGCAGTGGGGGAAGGAATATGGAAGCTGAGGAGGGGAAAACGGATCACAGAAGGCCGGGCTTAAGCGATACCATTTTTTAGACGCCTTTATTTTGGGTGCCACAAAAATTCTGCACCTGAGCCGCTCCAACGAGCAATGCTTTCATTATGGTTCTATTTAGAATCGGATACAAATTGGTTACATGAATCTGCTAGTTGATATCGTTCCTGTTGCTTCGTTACTTTATCTCGTTTCTATTTCGCCGAATTCGCACTTAAAGTCCGCGCAACACAGGAAATCGGTTTTCCCTTCTCACCTTTCTTCCCACGCCCCTTGCGGACTGGCGAACTGGGACTCTTGCTGCTACTAGGACTGGTGGGGCTGGTGGAGGGACGCGAGGAGGGGTTGGTGATCAATTCCGAGGAGCGGCCATCCCGGTCCAGCTCGCCCTTGAGGCGCACCAATGCTGCTTCATGCAGGCGATGCTGCAGCACTCCCAAGCTGAAAGTCAACGCAGTCAATGCAGTCAACAAGGAAGAGGAGAGCGCCCGTCCTGGTCCAGCTCGCCTTTGAGCCGCGCCAGCGCTGTCTCGTGCAGGTGGTGTTGCTGCACTCCCAGGCTGCCAGTCAACAAAGTCAACGCAGTCAACACAGAGAGTCAACGCAGTCAACAGGGGAGAGCGAGGGGGTTAGAGGAGCGCCCGTCCCGGTCCAACTCGCCCTTGAGCGCGCCAACGCTGCCTCGTGCAGGCGATGCGGCTGCACTCTCAGGCTGTCAGTCAGTCAACGCAGGCAACACAGTCAACGCAGTCAACAGAGGAGAGGGACAGACAGAGAGAGTAATTCAGATGAGCGAGTGAGTCAATACCGCTGCCTGCTGCTGGCAATGTTGTACGCAACGTTGCAAGCCGCTGCTGTAGCTGATGTTTACCCCCCTACAGTTTGACACCCGGTGCAAGGGGCCCTTCTCTCACCTCGCCATCACCAGCGCCGCATCCTCATGTTCCACCTGCACCAGCACATCACCTCCTATTCCTCACGCGTGCACCGAATACCATCTTACGGTCGTGCTTCTCAACTCTCTTCTCACCTCGCCATCACCAGCGCCGCTCCCTCATGTTCCACCTGCACTAGCGCGATGAAGTTATGACGATGCTTCCCCTAAGACATGGAAATTTGCTTTCTACTTGCAAATGATGATACGTACCATGTTATGTTTGCAAGTTTCACCATGTGTCGTCTTTAGAAACCCCTCACCTCTCCATCACCAGCGTCGCTCCCTCCTGTTCTACAAGCACCAGCTTGACACCGCAGATGCCCGGTGTTGGAACAAATAACTCACTAGTACTCACCTCTTTACTCCAAAGTCAAACCT